GAATTGTTCTTGATTAAGCGAAAAATCAAAGGTCCCTGTTGGCTTGAAATAGAAGATGCCCAAGAACAAAATACTAAAGTATGTCATTTTTTTCTATTTTTTTGACCGCCATTGTTATGAGATTTTACGATTTTGCTTTAATTTCATAATATTAGGTTTCCTGGTGTAAACATGAATTGCTTGTTAAAAATCCCAAAAATGTAAATCCTTTAAAGGAGACGATACCGCTGAAATCTCCTCCATTGACAATAATGACATTGAACTTACGTACTGTCATGAATCATCAAAAGCATGCAAATGAAATAGTTGCCTTTAGTGTACGAGTTTATCCTAAAGGTACATTATTTTAAATTATTATAATTTTTTTATAAAGTTACTAAATGTTTACTTTTGAAATAGTTTTTCTGGATGGACCAATTTGCGCAAAAGAACTTCAGTCACTTCAACAAACATCGATTAGACAATTGAGCGATAAACCGTGGTGGCCCGCAAAATTTGAAGAGAAAGTGCGAGAGAACAAAAACAAGATAAATCTGACTTTGGAAAGAAATGAATATTCTTTATTAAATCGTTTTTTAGGTTTGTATAACTTCAACGTATAAAACTTTAGCTTTTAATTGTCACGATATTTATCATAAAATCATCGTTCGAAACAATAGCCATTATCAAGCAGAATGATCCGGATGTTCTTGTTGGACATAATATCATTGGATTCGATCTACCTCTCTTATTGCAACGAATGGAAGCGTTGAAAGTTAAAGACTGGTCTTGGATTGGAAGGCTCCACAGACAAATGTACTATTTTATATATTTTTGCTTTCGATCTGATTTTATTTGAAAATAAGCATACTCTTACTAAACTGATAATATTTAAGATGGCCAAATTCTAGGGTTGGTACAAGTAGTAAAGGTGACTCTCTATTTATGGAGAAAGATTTTGCGAGCGGTCGATTATTATGTGATACGTACCTTAATGCAAAGGTAAAAAATTAAAAAACATGACATTCCAATCTTATTATAGTTATGTCCGCTTTTTTTTTTACTTGACCAACACTATTTACTATCTAGGATCTCGTTAAATCGAAAAATTATTCTTTAACTGAGTTGGCATCATCGCAATTGAACATCAAGCGAAAAGATTTCGATTATGAAACAACTGTAACAAAATATGAACGAGCAGATCTTCTGTTCGATTTTATTCTTCATTGTCGTTTCGATACTGTTGTCATATCAGAGTTGATGTTCAATCTGCAAATACTACCACTAACCAAACAACTCACGAATTTGGCCGGGAATATTTGGTATGGTTCCTTTCATTTTGATTTAAATATATTTTATTGCACACTATTAAGTTTGAAATTATCTATCATCAAGGTCTAAAACTCTCACCGGTGCTAGAGCTGTACGCAATGAATTTCTATTATTACATGAATTTCATCAAAATAAGTTCGTCTGTCCGGACAAGAATTATAACAAATCAAACATAAAGAATACAGAAAAATCTATTGGACATGATGAAGAGGGATCACGGAAAAGGCCGAAATATGCAGGAGGGCTTGTACTAGAACCAAAGAAAGGGTTTTATGACAAATACGTGGTCATGCTGGATTTTAATAGTTTATATCCATCAATTATTCAAGAATATAA